CGTTAACAAACAGAGTAGGTTTGAAGAATTTGTAATTTGAAGCGGCACTTTGGTATTTGTAACAAATTTTGGGCATTCTCGTTCACGAGTCGTTGAACTGTAATCGGTAGACTGCGGTTCTTCAGGCATTTAGGGACAATTTGAAGGCACAGAAATACTCGTTGTAATATTTAGCGAATAAAATAATTTATACTCGTGAAAATATGAATTTGCGTTGTGCACTCGTCACTTTAGAGAAAAGCGTAATTTAATTTCCAATTCTACCTTCTCTTTTCTTAATTGTACTTCTGAAAATACGAATTTGCATAAAAATCTTGTAGTTATCACTGTAGATCACTTTAGAGAAGAGTGCAATTTAATTTCCAATTTCGTCAACAGACTAACACACTCAGAAGTCATTTTGCCGCAGCAAATTTCTAGTCTTGTTAATATCATCAGACGCAGTTCATTTCCCTTCTAACACAAATTCAACCTCTCCCAATTCCGCCAAGTGTCCGCTGTCTCACAGAACAAAAGCACACGAATGTACGCGAATTACCAACACCGGAAGGGTTAAACGAATCAAGAATAGGGAGCAAGACCGTACGAAGACTGCGATCCGGCGCGAAGTTAATGTTTCACTGACTCTTCAGAGCGGAGGAGCCCGTCTCAGTGCAGTTATAGTCCTCTGGCCATTACAGCATCGTTCGAACAAAGAAGAACAATTCACGGGGCCATTCGCCGGTTTCAAGAACTTCTTCGGTTCGAGGGAAGTGTACTTAAACAGCGAATCCGGGATTCAGTTCTTTCCGCGTCTCTCTTTCCGTCCATTCTCCTTACCCAACCTCCCTTTCCAACCCACTCTCTCTCTCTCTCTCTCTCTCTTCTCGTTCCATCTCGATTCAGTTCGTCCCGACTCTCCCACGTTCGCTCTAAATCGACCCAATGAAACTTCGCGAAACTTTCACCACCTATCGGCCCCTGTGCCCCCGTGCTTTCTACCTAATAACGAAGTTAACTTGTCGGCTGATTAGAGGATTCGTCGCGTTTTTCCTACCGGCCAACGACGACGAGGACGACGTCGGTTAATTCCACGAAAATTCCGTGTGCATCCGCAGGAAAATTCGCCTGTTAAAACATTTAAGGGACAGTTTACCCCCGAGGGACGGTTAAGTCCTTTGGAAATGCTTGTTAAGGTAAATACGATCGGACACTATGCTCGATTGTGTGCGCGGTGCCACTGTCTTCTCTGGTGCTCGATTGAAAACTCAAATACACGTCGGGATCGCGCTCTTTGTTGCTGTTTTCACCCAATTCTATTATTCCCTCGGCTAATCGATTGACTTTTTGTTCGGGGAGCTCGATTGGAAGGTTCGCTGTTCGACGGTGTGTTAAAAGCGATAAAGTACGATGAAAAATTGTGTTTCTTTCTTTTTTGTACTCGGAATTAGCGATAATTCTTTTGCTTCCTATGAAAATTTAAGAAATGAGAGAATTACTGTTAATTGAAGCGTAAAGAACGAAACAATTTTTTATTCTACTTTGGTATTTTTAATATACCTTCAAAATGACGATAAAAATTCCCCAACAAAATGCACATTTCACTTAAAAAATGTGTGAAAGGTATTTTTTAGGGTCCTCAAAAATTTCACCGAACTTTCATCAAGAATTAATTACGCCGGAATGTTAGGTGTACCTTCCATAGACAGAAATCAGAAGTATTCCAGTCGTCTGAGCGGTCCTCATTTACAAGGCGCTTCCAATGTCTGACCACGAACGTCCACTACTACTGAACTCCACCGTGAGACATTTAGCGAACAAAACAGATCCCACAAAATGAAATACGCGCAACGAAAAGCATTTGAAAATATACACATACAAAAATCTACATACAATTCTATACAAATAAATTTTCTCTCGCTTATTAACCCGATCGAAGCGCAGTCTTCGTTCTAATTTCATTTCTCCCGGAAACTTCGTTGTAAAATTCTGTACTCAGCACCGAGGCTGTTCCATTTTGTACAGAGAGAGAGACAAGACCGTGGCCGGTGCTCGATCACGCGAGCCGTTCCTCCGCTTCTTCCCCAATAACAACGCAATTACCGGGGGATAATATTTTCCGCTGGAAACTGCCAATGCCGCGCGTAACTTCGCCCTGGAACAGTATCGAACTACCCACTTTTTTCCCTCTTTTCTCCTCCTCTCTCTCTCTGTTCTCGAAGGCCAGTTTTCGCTAACGCCAGGAGAAAAAGGCCTCTCGATTAATTTCCACCCAGACTAACCGAACGAGCAGACGCGTGGGATCGGTGAATTACAGCCGCGAAACGGAGAGAGTGGTAGGATAGGAACGTTGGAGGAGGAAGAAAAAATAAAATTGAAGAGGAGGAAAGAACGTAGCGTTTCATGGGTACAGGACGTTAATGCGGAAAGCGTGTCTGTCGCGAGCCAGTTTGATCTCTCCTCCCTTGGAGATGCCGTTACAAAGGCAGCCGTGATACCATTTAACGCATGACGACCACAACGAAGACGAGTACGACAACGGAGGGAAGGTCGTCGTAAAAGTAATGCGCTCACCGGCCATTCCGTGGGCCGACGTTCGTCACATACGACGAGGAGGCCGTAATGGCCGAATCCGGTATGTCGCCGGACTCCATTCCCAAGGATTGATTGCACGATCCTGAAACACACGGTTTAACTTTATTATTTTACGCATTGAACGAGGTTCGTGAGTGTCTGGACACACGTTTATTTAAATTACATATCTTGAGAGAAATTCGGTGCTGTGAAAAATAGAACCAAATTCGGGAAATGAGAAAAGGTGAAAAGTGGCTGAATTCTGGAATCATCGGGACATCCAGCACGGATGAAAAAATTTTTTTAAATAATCTTTTATGTATTTAGAGTGTTCCGGAAACACAAGTGTCTGTAGACAGTGTTTCCTCAAAAAATGCAAAGAAATGTTCTTGATTTTCCTTGCTTTCTATTATGTACACGCGGTTTCTCGTGGTTTTCACCAAATGTGGTCATGACGCACGCATCTCTGGCTAGTCTGTGCCCAGATATGGTCAACACACCCTGTGGTCCTCGTGAGTCATCGAGAATTTTCTCTATAAACCTAGTTTTTGTCCCTTTCGACCCTCATTTTCACTTGTGCAACTTACTCTCTCCCGTCTCTCTTGGAACAACGTGGAAAAATAACGCACACATTTTTACGTCACCGGCACATAGGTCAGAACGCTTATGGAAGCGTTGTATTTGTTATATCCTACGTGAATTCACTGTTCTCTCCTCTCGTTTACTCGGGGAAATTGTGGCGTACAATGGACTGGCGATGAATCAAATCGTGCCTTTCCATTATGTTTCGCGAGTACCCGTGGTACAATGCTGATAAATTATGGCCCGCAAATGTAAATTGAAAGGTTAATAAGGCACGCGGTTGTACGCCACTTTTAATCTTCCTACGGGTACGTATTTGTTCGCGGTTTCGAATTATATCGTACGATGAGATTCGTTGATGGAATGGATAAAGCTATCGTGAAAAATCTGGAAATATTCGGAACAATAATACACGGGTGGGAATGTAAATATTTTCGCTGGATCGCTCCTCGAAATTGCAAATGTTGGATATTACAACGTTTTGCAATTTTTTTTTTCCACTCATAGAACATTCTACTTTTCCTTCGATGCTTGAAAAGTATTTCTCGCATATTAGTCGGAATAATTTTGTATTAATATAAAATAATTGTACACACTTCACACTTTCACCTCTTCCTCTTCGTTGGCCCCTCCTCCTCTTCCTCTTCGTCGGCCTGTCCTCTTCCCATTCGTCGGTCTCTCCTCCTCTTCCTCTTCCTCCACCTCTCCTCCTCTTCCTCCACCTCTCCTCCTCTTCCTCCACCTCTCCTCCTCTTCCTCCACCTCTCCTCCTCTTCCTCCACCTCTCCTCCTCTTCCTCCACCTCTCCTCCTCTTCCTCCACCTCTCCTCCTCTTCCTCCACCTCTCCTCCTCTTCCTCCACCTCTCCTCCTCTTCCTCCACCTCTCCTCCTCTTCCTCCACCTCTCCTCCTCTTCCTCCACCTCTCCTCCTCTTCCTCCACCTCTCCTCCTCTTCCTCCACCTCTCCTCCTCTTCCTCCACCTCTCCTTCTCTTCCTCACCCCCTCTTCCTCTTCGTCGGCCTCTTCTCCTCTTTCTCTTCCTCGGCCACTCCTCTTTCTCTTCCTCGGCCCCTCCTTCTCTTCCCATTCATCGGCCCCTCCTTCTCTTCCCATTCATCGGCCTCTTCTTTTCTTCCCATTCATCGGCCCCTCCTCCTCTTCCCATTCATCGGCCCCTCCCCCTCTTCCCATTCATCGGCCCCTCCCCCTCTTCCCATTCATCGGCCCCTCCCCTTCTTACTCTTCCTCCTCCTCTCCTCCTCTTCGTCTCAAACAACATAATTTCAAAATGTTTAATCATCGTCGACAATAATTGCATTTCGCGGAAATTCAATTCAGCAGATACCTTAACCGAAAGAAAAAAATGTCGGTTTTTCTTTCGAACCTAACTCATAAGAATTTCAAACCAGCTCAATTGTGTTAATTTACAATTGAGACAGCCGCACAGTCAGATTTCATAAGCAGTAAAATACGCAGAAATTTCTGATAAAACAATCGAAAGGGTTAACGGTGAATTTCAATCTCAAAAGTTTACTCTAGTAAATTGCACTTCGATTAAGAATTGTGGCTTTAATTGTGGTTTTAAGCTCAAAAATTTACTCCAGTATACTTTTTCCACATTCACACTTCGAATAAGAAATTAACCCAGAAACCGTACAAATTTCCCACAAAAGAATCAAAAGGGTTAACAGCGAAACAACGCGTCGATACACACTTCGAAGAAATCAGAAATCAACGTACAGTTTTCCAAAGAAAGAATCCAAAGGGTTAATGTTCAAATTTAAATTTCGAAATCGCGTCAATACGTTCTCCAGGAGTAAACTTTTTCTCGATCCTTCATCTCTCGAGGATCTCGACAGAAATCACGAGCGTAAACAGCAATTACGAGGACGCCTTTGGAATCGTTGTCGGCAAAGTTGATGGATAAGTGGCGAAACGGGGTCCTCTACGTCTATTCAATCGCCTACACACTTATTAGTTCGTCAGCTATCTCATTCACGTTTCAATTTGCCCCAAGTTTACTGCCGTTCGAATGTAATCTTTCCATTAAAGTTTTCGCAGCGGGCGATAAAAGTCCGAGCAAGTCCGCGCGACGTGAGAAGTCCGGGAGAGAAGTGCGGAGGGTGGGGATTAATCGGTGCGAATAAATTTACATTATTGAGATGAGGAGGATCGCGAGCGTTCGATTGCCTCGCGAGAAAGACGCATTTTCAATCGAGCGCGGATTAAGCGCGGAATCTTGCGCGGAAAGGGTCGTGATTTGTCGCGTTGGAATTGTAAAAATTGTGATTTTTTCCCTCTTGAGGTTCGAGAACGCGTAAAATTATACGTTGCGCTTCTCGAGGAACGGACGATTTGTAGATAAATATCTAACGATAAAACTTTGTTGTACATTTTCTGAACGGTTTATCGAATCGATGCGTATTTCCATCTTCGAGTGTTATCAAGCGTTCGTATGAAACAGCGATGAAATTCGCAATCGAGTAATCCTTTCCGCTCGATGTTTAATTTAATATTAAGAACGACCCGTTTATCGAGGCGAATTGTTTAATATTTTCCGAACGGCTTGTGAACGATGTGTTATTCCCATCTTTCGCCGTTATCGAGAATTTTAATTTCGGTGAAATATGGCGTTTGTGTAGTAGTTCCGTTTCAACGAACGTTCTCGTTTAATCGGATTGCTTTCGCACAGAAACGCTGTTTGTTTATTAACAACAGCTTTCACGAAATCAAGCAGAATAGATCGGTCTTACAGAGGGGGGTGGTTCTTATTGGCTTCGGCAGCCATACGATCAAGAGCACGCTTCTGCTCGATTAAACCTTTTCCCTCTTTTCCCTTTCATCAACCCTCTTACGGAAATCCTTTCGAGTAAGCCATGGCGGTAGGTTAAATCGAGCCGACGTACTTCCTTCCCGCGGAAATAAAGCTAAGTATTCCGCCCAATAAACACCGCCGTTCCTTCTCATCCTTAACTCTACAAACAAGAAATGAACAGAATTATCACAGAAACCACCGAAAAAAGATGTGCAAAGAAAGAAAGAAGTCTCCTCCTTTTTTTTTTTTTTTTTGGCATGAAAGAAACTTTGGAAAGAACGAAGTAACTGTTAGAAAATGTTTCTACGAATGATAATTTGAATCGTTACATCGTGTCTTTCAATACTTCGCGTCTGCGGAATTAAATAACTTTTAAAGGGCGAAGATAGAAATGGTAGAAACGGCGGTGTACGGAAAGAATGGCGGTAGAAATGTAACTTCCAGTGGAACACGACTTCCTCCTCCACGTCTCTTTAAGCGTTCGTTGAACGAACACGGTGCGCCGCCAAACAAATCTGTCGTAATTCAAGGAAAATGCTCTCCCCGCTTACCGGAAGTTATAAAAAAGTTTTCAATGAGACGCTCCGGTCTGGGGCGTTTGTGGCGGACTGGGATGGCGGATTCGTGAATGGTATTCATGCATCGGCGGCGTATCAGCGTCGCGCATCGTTTGCCGCGCACGTGAACGTATTCAGTGTAAGTACCGATGCCAGAAGCATACTTCATGATCCGCGTACTTCTTTCAACGGTGGCTCACGGCCGATTTAAAACGACCCACGAGCGTCACATCTCTAGTTTCAACGAGGGTACGAGAGCTTTCTCCGCGACAGACGCAGGAATTTCTCGGTGAAAACGACCGCGTTTTGTAAAGGGACCGAAAATTCGCTATTAAATTTCGAGCTGCCTTTCGTCGACGCCAGCCGTTTTTCGGATGGAGAGTCGACGGATAGGGAGAAGTGTATTTCGTCAATGGCTCGGGTAATTGAGGGAGGAGGGGGTTGATAATTGAGAGTTGAGTAGGATAGAGATGTTTAGAGGTTTGATAAGATGTAGGCAGAGATATTTTAGTTGTGTTCCTAAATTTGGAAAAATTAGTAGTGCAGCTTTTAATTTTGTAAAAGTTTGCATTGAAATTCTTTCTAAGATTTTCTTAAAATAAGTATTCAAGAAGTTCTGTAAATCTTCAGGGAATCTTCAGGAATACTTCAATTACTCACACGAAGATTGAAAGACATTTAGGGATTTGATATTTTACTTATGTTTTTACCTAAATTTACCTAAATTTTCTAAAAAACTGTTCATTAAAACTCTTCCTCAGTTATCCTCGAATTAATTAATCAAAAAATTCTGTAAATCTTCAATGTGAAAAGCTTGTAAGTGATAGATCAGAGCAAGCAAAAACAGTCTCTATTCATTGCAAGCACTCACATAAAGAGGAAACGCGTATGAAAATCTAGGAAATTATGATACTTCGATAATTACTAAAACATTCGCGAACTAGAAAAAAAAATGGAATAATAAAATGCTGCAGTTCCTATTCAGCTCGTGTATACGCGGTGAACAGGAGTGTCTGACCATATACAGGTCACATTCTACTGTCGATTCACGTGTCAGTCACGTCGAGCGCTTCTGATTGCTATTACAAATATTAAATTGAATTGTTTATTCACCGGTGCTGCTAATCCAATGTGTTCGTTACATCGA